TTAAAGATCTGATTTTGTTTTTTAGCCCAATTACATTTCTGATAAAACTTGACTACTGTTCATATGTTTAAATAAGGAGATTTTTGTTTATACCTTCTTGAAGGTGTGATGCTTATTTCCCTGGCACTATGTGCAGATGCTGTCATTGGGAATGTTCAAGAGAAAGCTATGAAACTGCATAATGCTTCCAATTCTGAAATGGTAAATACTGTAGTGCTTTTTCTTCACATTAGACAGACTGAAAGATAGTGATGTACCTAATTTATGAAATAGTTATAGTACCAAAGACTTGCATTGCATCTTTAAACTACTTTATCATTATTTTCATAAAAGTAATACATTCAAACATCCTAGGAAGGTAAAAAGTAAAACCACTGCTAACAGCTCATTGTATAGTTGATAACTTTTTACTCATTGATTTATAGTTTTTTACATAGTAAAACAAATCCTTTGCAACGTCATCTATCTCCCCTCTTTGTATTGGGTGTTACTTTTCATGTAGAAATTTGTAATTTTCATATGGTCCAATTTATCTTTTCCTTCATGGTTCCTGGCTGTGTGTCACGGTTGAAAAAGGCTTTCCCAACTCTGAGATTTAAAAAATTTCATCCTTGTAGCCTACTAGTTTTATGATTTCCTTTATTATTAAATCCTTGATCCAATTTAAAGCTTTTTAAAAACTTTTCTTTCATTTGGCTATCCATTTGTCCCAACACCATTTATTGAGTAATCCACTTTTCCAGCTTATTTTAAATGCCTTTTTTTATTATATCACACTGTAGTGTAGGGCTCAGAATTACGTTCTTTTGAATTTATTCCTGCACCAGTACATACGACGACAGCAGCTTTAGCATACATTTATCATCTTAGGACTAGCTGCCATTGTTCCTTTTCTTTTTCAGAGTATTACTACCAATAGTTATTCTTGGGTGTTCATGTCCCCAAATAAACTAGAAATCCCATTGGTATTGTGATTGGTATGGCATTGAATTATAAATTAATTTAGGGAGAATGGCATCTGTACACTTGATTCTTTCAGTCCAAGAATAAGGTATGACTTTCCTTTTATTCAAGTGAGTTTTTTTTTTAATGTCCGTTAGAGTATAAAGTTTTCTTCATATAAATCCAGCACATTTCTTATTAAAGTTATTGTTACATTTTTCATATTTTTGCTATTGCTGTAAATGTCTTTTCTTTCACTGTGTCTTCTAACTGGTTTTTATTTTTATATAGAAAAATTCTGTGTGTGTTTACATTAATTTTATAACCAACCACCTTGCTGGACAGGTAGAGTGTATTACATTAAGGATATATAGGACTATTCTTTCCTAGTACTTTCTCAGCAGAGTGGGACAACTTAAGTGGTCCATAGTAACACAGGAATTTTAATCTTGGTCAAGAATTTTCTTGATCATCATCACTACTCATTCTAGGTAAAGTAAGGATGACCTCAAAGAGTTAAGGGAGTGTAGGTGGTTAGAAAGTTAATATCATGCAGTGGTTCCAATGGTAGGCTCTGGAATAAGATAGCCTCAGTTCATATCCTGGCTTTACTAGCTCTCATTCAGGGAAAATTACTTAATATTTCTGAGTTTTAGTTTTTTCATCCAGAAATTGGATTATGATGATTAAAATAGGTTAGTTGTAGAGAGAAGTAAATGGAATAATCTGTGTAGAGCATTCGCACAGCACCTGACACATAGCAGCTATTTAAGTTTGCTGCTGCTGCTGCTGCTCATTCTGTTTATGAGGAGTATAATAACCGGGGATAAAAAGGTTTGTTGGAAAATAGGGAAATTAAGCAATAGTTATGCCATATACTGCTTGTTTTCATTATATTTTAATGTCTTCTACAAACTTAGTGTTTGGTTTTTTCCATGTTTTATAAGTAGCTTTAAAGCTTTTTATTTTGTTTATGTATA